ATAGAGCCTCTTTAGGAGTTGATCAAGTCTCAAACCATCAACCATGTTACTTACATGGCCGTACACCGGTTCGAGTTCCCGTGCTCTGTAAATTTCTGAATGACCACAGAAGTTTAGGGGTTCGCGCTTAGGGTATAGAGTTCTGGCTTCTCGATCTTTGTAAGCAAGTCTACTTGTTAGATTCTCCCAGGGGTCAAGGTAGGGTGTGAGGTTTCCGGGTTTGGGTGTAAGAACACTTGGGGTTAAGTCATAGGGTGCTCGAAATGGATACAAGAGGATTAGGGCTGTCGACTTGGAAGGGATGTCCGGTATGCGGTTCCGGGTCATATATATATGTATATATATATANNACACACACACACATACATACATATGTATGTAGGGCTCAGAACACCCCAGACGAGGATTGCTTTTGTCCAAGGGCGAGTCGACGGACTGCTGTAGCAGGGCGAGTAGCTTGAGCCATAGGGATCAAACAAAGATCCCCAGCCGGGCATCGACGGGCCAGGTCGCAAAGGAGCAAGGCCAAACGCAAGATGGAGCAACGTGTGGCTTCAGTTACCAAGAACAAGGCGGACCGTGCTGCTTTGTGGCAAAGCTACGAGGTCGACCTGAAAGCGGTCTATGCATTCCAGAAGGAGCCCTGACGGAGCAGGAGGTGTCAAGACAAGCCGTGCTTCAAGTTCATGCTGGGGGCGGACGGCGTGTCAAGGAGCCGCGGCAGCTATCCCGAAGGTGGATGTTGTTACTCGGCTCAGGCCTCTCCTCCGGCCACCAAAAAGAAGGGCCCACCATCGGCGCTCCCCGCGCACTGTTTGCACTGCCGACGGCACCGCCGCTCAAACTGCCGAGGAGGCAGAAGACTTGTGGATCGGGCAATTTGCGTGAATTGAGGATGGAGTTTGCCTCGAGCCAGTCGCGCTAGTTCGTGGAGTCCAGACCGCTCAGCTGCAGGGATCTCGATATTTATGTGCTGTCCGCCTCAGATGTCCCTACGAGGCTGGGGCTTGAGCAATCTCTGCACAAGACGCAGACTGGTCGTGCCTTAGGCGTCGACAACATCCCAGGAGAGCTGCTCCATCTGGCAGCCGGTACTGCTTCGCGCGCCCTGTACCAGCTTTTCTCGAAGATGTCTATGCAGACGGCCGAGCTCGCACACTTGAAGGAAGCGGCCCTCTTTGCCGTGTGGAAGGGCAAGAGTAGCCCCACGTAATGCTCGGTACAGTGGCACAGCGGGGTATACTCGTTGGCTCTACACAGGGTAAGGCTTTTCCACCGAGTCATCCGGAACAGAGCTGTGCCGGCACTTGAAACCTGATTACGGACATGCGAATTGTTGGCCCAAAGGGGGGAGGCTGCATGTTCCGGTTGTTCTTGCAGCTCACTTCGTGAAAATCTTCCAAGAAGGTTGCCGTTCCCGTCGCACGAGCTATGGCCTTTTGTTCTTGGACTTCCGAGAGGCGTTCTACAGAGTGTGTGCTCTGCTTGTTTGCATGTCTTGTAATGATGAGGAAACCGCCACTGTGCACCAAGGAGGGCTCATACACCAAGATGCTTCTCTGTCGAGAGAGCTCAAGACCCTACTGTTGACTGTAAGGACAATGTCATGCTTGTTGAGTCCCTTTGAGTGTGTTGCTGCACGTTGCTCGACTCAGCAACTTGCTGCCATGACTGCGAACCAGAGTTGTAAAGCATTCTGCATTGGCAGTGCCAGTGGTTGACGGCCGTCAGGGCCTATGGCCGTGGGATTGTGTCGACAATGGTTCCTCCACTGAATGCTGGGAGGCTGCCTAGTCCACTTGGTATGAGTGGTGCATGAGCCACCACGCCGGTGGAAAAGTCTTACTCTCCGGACACAGACCCAGGCGATGCAGCGGGAAGGATGGCGCCTCGACGAACGTCACCACCTAAGCCCTGTAAGTCGACAGCTCAGACAGGCCGGTGCGGTTGCCATATGCAACGCCAACCGAGATGTCGTCAGAGACTGCAGGAGGTGGGATATAGGTGTGGTGTTAAACCAGGCATCGGTAATTGATGAGGGTAAGTACCAGGCTCCCTCTCTCCAGGCCCAGGGTCCATTCCTTCCCTTGGCACAAGGGGCCTGGGATGAATATTTGGACCTCCAGCCATCGAAGTCTTAAGAGTGTTTGGGGCATATTGCTTTTGCTTTGAGTCTCAGGATGTCACAGAGGAGATTGCATGGGAGGGAGAGGACCCGTCTCTCCTTTTCCTCTATCTGCCTTCCCAATCGCGAACTCCGTGCCGCGGCCCTTGCCTGGGTGGATCTCCTTCAGCGACAAGAGGACACCTATGACCTTCCCACAGGGCTCCTTCCCCACATCGCCAGATGGGTCATGTCTGTTGAACTTGCCGAATGGCTCGTCCCACACTTGTCAGGAAGACCTCGAGCCTTGCGCACATTCAAGGATGTCACAACGTGCTACCGATGTTGGAAGTCAACTAGATCCCAACTGCCGTTGTCGGTACATCACAGGATCGGGCTCTTGTGGCTCCACCTCAGCCATTGATTTTACTCACTCTGAGTGCCTGGAGGCTCGGAGGCCTTTTCTTCCGGACGGGTCCCCTCCTTCATGGATGGGCCACTGGATGACATTGTGTTTAATTTATTATCTCGGTTCGGGGATTGCCGTGCTGGCTGGACTGCCCCCGGCCCCCTGTCCGCTCCAAGGACCATCCCTTCCTCATGGCACGTGCCGTGTTGGCTGGTGACCTGCTCCGGTTTGCCTTGTGCCTTTGGCTTCAGGGAATCCCGGCCGCCCTTGTCCGTACGGATCAGCCCAACACCGTGCCTAAGCCTATTCAGTCCCTGCTCTTCCTGGAATGCCTCAGAGCGGAGGGTACTGTTTGCTGGCGTACGAGAGGTTTCGCCTGGGAGCCTCACTGCTTTACTGCTTTACCTTCCTGAATAGATTTTGTGATTTTGCAACCAACGGGCTGCAGCCGCAGATAGAATCTACGCCCGAAATGAGCGAACGTATGTATGTATGTATGAATGTATGTATGTATGTATGCAAGCAAGCAAGCAAGCAAGCAAGCAAGCAAGCAAGTACGTAAGTAAATATGTATGTATGAATGTATGTATGTATGTATACATGTAATATTGTATATAACTATATTATATACATATATGTAAGTACAGGTTTTTAATTCGAAGCTCCGGAGAATCCTGTGCCCAGAGACAATCAGGCAACAGCGGTGCAAGTCGGCTACCCAGGAGCCTGGATTGAGGGTTTAGGGAGTTTAGGGTTTTGTAGGGTTGGGGTTTAGGTTTTACGGTTGGTGGTTTAGGTTTTGCCGTTTAGGGCCTGAGGTTGACGGTTTAGGACTTAGGGTTGGAGGGTTTATAGGGGTTGGGGTTTAGGGTCTAGTAGGATTGGGGTCAAGGTTTTGGGGTTCAGGGTTTCGGAATGACGGTTGGGGGTTTGGTAGGTTAGGAATAAATAGGGTTTAGGGCTGGGGGTCACGTTGCTCGATTTTCCGCTGAGGGCTTGCCGGTGTGGCTGAAGCCCCGAAATCCGACAAGCCTGTTTGAAACTACGGCTGAAACCTCAAGCCGATGGAGCTTGGGCTTTTGGAACTTGTTTCTATCAGGTTGAAACTTTAGGGGCTTTGTAGGGTTCCATCAGGTTCTGGATATAGGGGTTTCGTGTCTTGGATCTTGAGGCTTTTCAGGGTTTCACGGGCCTCAACAACACTATCTGTTTGGAACATGAGATTCTGCCCTGAACACTGGCATCTACCAAGCCCCTGTTATACCCAGAGCTCCCTGGGAGGATGTAGAAAACAGAGCCCCTAATCTGAGAGCCTAAACAACTGAAGGGTACTTGATAAGAACCCCGATTAAGTGATCTACTTTCTAGACCGGGGGCCTGGGTAGGGTGTACCCTAAACCCTGAACCGTTTAGGGTTTTCAAGAGTGAGGGAGTACCGAAGATAGTGCGACTCACATTAAGAGCCCTAACGGTAAGAACGAAGAGTTTCTGGATCAGGCCCTTTTGTTATATGAAGCACTGTAATATAAAATGACGGAGTATAGCATCGTATCATGTCTTAAAGCATGGCAAAACATCAGAGTTTATATTCAAATGGTTGTATTCTGTTCTGTTATATTGTATTACATGCAGCAATATAACAGTTGTCTCATGTAATATATCATATAATCATATGATACATTATCAGATGATGTAGGATGCTTCGAAGCCTCTTCGGGAGTTTCCAATGATGGAGCTTGAACCCTAAACCATAAAACCCTGAACCCTAAACCGTAAACTCTAGAACAATGTGGTCCGAGGAACTCGGATCATTGTGCTAGTTTGAAACAAACAGTCAGGGTTTCGGACCAACGCTTTATACGGTTTAGGGTTTAGGGGCTTGGGGTTTAGGGGTCTAGGGGTTTGGGGTTTAGGGTTTAGGGTTTTCAAGTCAGGGTTCGAAAACATGGCCAAAATTAACAAGGGCCGAGAAAGCGGCACTTGCACATAATGAAGGCCATGTGATGTAGTTCTTAAAAGGATGTCATCGGATTTAGGGCACTCGGTTTCAGCATCGGCCTGCGGTGAGGTTGTGATAAAGACCCTGAACGAAAGTCCTTTCATGAGCAAACCCACCAGATGCAACCCCACATTTTGAGAATCTGCAGAGCACATATGGGCGTTTCCGAAAATAAGGGACCCTAATATAGTACCCTAAATAGCAGGATCCTTCTTATAAGGACCCCCAACATAAGGTACCCCCCTTATTTTCGGAAACTCCCATATCTTTATTCCCAGAAGACCCAGGCAGCCTTAGAGTTCCTTATTAAGTCTAGGACATTTTCAGGTGGGTAGTAACCGTCATGGGAGCCTGAAAGAAGGTCTGCAAACCTTATAGAAGCCTTGTAGAAGCCCTGTATACCCTGAACTCCCCACCTGTAGTTTCCTTTAATTAAGAAGCTCTTACATAAGCCCACACAAAGACAGGTCCTTTGAGTTAAATGCAGCGGCTTAGAATCTAAACCTCTAACCCTTACAAAGGCAGGTCCTCCGGTTGAAGTTTATGAAAACCTGCGGAGGTAAGTTGTTCAGCCTAGCTGAACACCCAGAGAAGGACGGAAACACTAGTTCCTAGTTCTACACGACTCCCCGGGGTTTTTGGTGTAGCTTGAAACCCTAAACCCCTAAACGCCTAAACCTCTAAACCCTAAACCCTAAGCTTGTTCCTTGTTTGGGTTCTGGCTTCCTTTACGGGAAACGCTAGACTGAGCACTTGGTGTCGATGTTTAGGGTTTAGGGTTTTGGGGTTTAGGGTTTAGGGTTTAAGGGTTTAGGGTTTAAGGGTTTAGGGTTTAGGGTGGTGCTCCACGAATCCGGATTTGGTATGTGGGGCTGGCGGATTGCGACATACAGCGGCTGGGGTTTAAGGAGTGCTTGGAGGTTCATGGGACTTAATAAGTACAGTCATAGGTATTTTGAGTGGAGTCATAAGCAATAAATAAGGTAACCCTAGTTACTAAGTTAACTAAGTCCAATGAACCTTTAAGTAGGGGACCTTACAGCCCTTGCCAGGAATCGCCCAGATCTACTTGGATGCCACGGGCGACGCGGATGGCGTCGAGACGGTAGATGGAAACCTGGTGCTGAAGTGCTACCAGGACGGATACGTATCGGGTTTTAGGGTTTAGGGAGAATCAAAGACTCTTACAGTCCTCTAGGCATGTAAAACCCTAACCAGCAAACCCCCCTCACGAAGGAACAAACCTTTGCCGAGGAGAGCGGTGATCCTGATTATGAGTTAAGGTATATCCCTAAACCCTTAACTTATGCCCTAAACGCTAAACCTTAGTATGCCATACTTGAAGGGCTAATGAAGTTTCCAAGGCAGGAGGACCCAACAATTCTAATGATTAAGGCCCCTATCTTAAGTGTGCAGGCAGCCTGTCGGTTTGTTTCTAGGCTCCCCGGTAGTGCCCTTTTGCCCTTGTATTCGGGTTCCTTCAAGCGCTCCTTAAAGGTTCCCTATACTTTAGTAGCTGAATGCCTGTGCTTTAAGCTTTTTGGGGGATGATATAATCCTCTATAAAACTGAATTTTTTACACGTTTTCGGGCTTATGAACTCAGTAGCTAAGTGGGGGTATAGCTTACTCTTTGCTTTTGGGTTCGGCGTTCGGAGTCTGAGGGCGTTAGGCTTATGAACTCAGAAATGAGGAATGAATGTACAGGCGTTTAGCAGTCGAACCCTTGTGCCGTTCTCGTCCCAGACCCCTTAAGGGATCTACTTTCTAGATTTTTGTCCGGGGGTTTGGGTTACTGAAACCGAATATTCGGAATGTTCGACCCTAAACCTCAAACCGGTTAAGGTGTTACTTGGGAACCGAGGATTGTAGAGATCCAGAATACGAAGCACATTGGTCACAAGTAGGTAGGGTTTAGGGCTTTAGGGTTCCAGGGTTTAGTAAGTTATGGGTTTCGGTGCACTTCTATCAATAGTATCACCCCTGCTATGATCTACTTACCCTAAAACCCTAAACCCGATACCCTAAACCCTAAACCTTCAAGTTTGCACAGGGCAAGTGGTGGCTTTCACCTCCATGCCGCGCAGATCCAGACAACTGCCCGGTGCTGATCACTGGAACCGACTCTCGGCTGAACAAATCAGGCCCCCTCAGAACCCGGGAGGATCTAGAAAGTGTATTCTTTAAAGAGGGCTCCTATGTACCAAGTTTAGGGTTTAGGGTTTTGGGTCTAGGGTTTTGCGTTTAGGGCCTAGTAGCACCCTAAACAATAAACCCTAAACCCTAAACCGTATAGTAGCATCCCAGTAGGGTACCCCTTAGTAGTTAGGGTCCCGAAGCAGGGGGAGATCTTCCCAGGAGTCTGGGCCCGCAGGCCCCTTTAAAGGGAATCCTTAAAGGAAACCTACAAGGAACCCAAAACTGGGTTCTTGTTAAGGGATGTAGTTTAAGTTAACATGATGGGGATCTAAAATAAATGATATGGTTTGCTTATTATGGTAGCTCAAAAAAACCCCTAACAAGAACCCAGAAAAGGAGTCCTGAAAGGATCTAGAAGAGACAACCCTTCCTCCAAAGAGAGGCTTTCCTTCAGCCAAGCAATGACAAGAGTTCATCTGGGGGCGTAGAGCTGGGTTGAGAGGTGGGAGGTGTCCCCCTTTTCTCGCCCCTGCAGTTTTTCGTGCTTGAGAATGTTGCATCCGCCCCTAAACCCCAAAGCCCCTTAAACCTTAAGCCCAAAAGCCCTTAAAGCCCTAAACCCTGAAGCCCCTAAACCCCTAAAGCCCTTCAAGCCTAATTTTAAGGCCCTTAAAGCCCCTAAACCCCTTAACCTTAAACCCTAAAGCCTTAAAGCCCCTAAACCCCTAAAACCTTAAACCCCAAAAACCCCTAAAGCCCTAAAGCCCCAAAAACCCCTAAAGCCTTAAACCCCAAAAACCCCTAAAGCCCCAAGCCCCTAAAACCTTAAACCCTAAAACCCCTAAAGCCCTAAAGCCCCAAAACCCTAAAACCTTAAACCCTAAAACCCCTAAAGTCCTAAACCCCTAAAGCCTTAAACCCGAAAAAACCTAAACCCTAAAGCCTAAAACCACGAGAACCCTCTTTGAAGCCCAATCCTCATAGTTGACTGAAGCGCGCAGCAAGGTCCAAGAACACGGACACTCTGACTCCAGATAAAGTCTTTGGTCAGAGCTCCGACCCGATGCTGGACTTCCAGCCACTTGGCTACCCTAATCCCTAAACCATAAACCCTATACCCTACCCTTAGAGGGGTTCATGATCCGATTCTTCAGGGTTTAGGCTTTAATTGTTTGTGGGTGTAGGGTTTAGGTTTGAGGTTGAAAAGGTCTGAGAGGTTCTGAGAACTGTTTAGGGCTGGAAATGTTTTCTTCTCGTGTTGAGGCTAAAACCCTAAAACCGTAAAACCCTAAAATCCTAAACCCTAAACCCTGTGGACACTCTCCCGGGGCATGGGAGTAAGGCCTTGCCACGAACGCGATGCCGTCACTAGCGGCTTTCTGGCCCTAAACCCTAAGCCCTAAACCCGAATTAAATCCTAAACCCTAAGCCCTAATTAACCTCTAAACCCTAAACCCTAATTAACCCCTAAACCTTAAACCCTACTGTCATGGGTTTTCCGGTGGAGAGCGCCACAGCCTGCAATGCAAGGCCCACCTCTATCTCACAATCTCTCCACTTATACCCTTGACCCCCGGACTCTAAACACCCAGCTTCTAGATCCCTCAGTCCCTATACCCCTAATCACCTAAACGCTAAACTCCTAAACCCTAAACCCCTAAACGCCCAACCACTAAACCCTCAAAGCTAAAACCTTAGAAACCTTGGGCTCGAAATGATTGCGGGATGTGGGATGAGGGATGTGGATTTAGGGTTCAGAGCAACCCCTAAACCACCAAACCCTCAACGCGATGTGGGATGAGGGGTGTTTATTTAGGGTTCAGAGTTTGGGGTTTAGGGTATAGGGTTCAAAGTTTTGGGTTTAGGGTTTAGGGTTCAGAGTTTCGGGGATTAGGACCGAGGCCCTACGTCGAGGCCTTTCGGCTTCTTTTGGGGTTTAGGGTTTAGGGGAGTTAATTAGGGCTTAGGGTTTGAGGCTTTTGGGGTTCAGGCTCTTGGGGTTTGGGTGAAAGAGCTTTGGTTTTTGGGGCTTGGGGTTTAGGGTCAAAGAGCGGGGTTTAGGGTATAGGGTTAAGGGGAATCAGGGCTTCGGGTTTAGGGTAGAAGAGCTTTCAGATTGAGTGGTTGCGATCTCCGTCGAGGGTTAACGTGTTTGCGCATGCAAGGTTGGGCTGGTTCAACAACAGCAACTACTTTCCATCCTTCGTGGAAGAGATGATGGAGAACTATAGGCCGAGATGCTTTGGTTTCGGTTCGAACCTGCAGGAACACTAGGCACATCGACCCGGGTGCCTTCTTTCAGTCACGGGTTGATAGGGGGCCCTCGCGGAATCTCCTTGAAGGAGCCCCGTTGCGGACTCGGCCTCTTATGTCTAAACCCTAAACCCTTGCCTTAAGCCCTAAACCCAAAGCCCGAGGCCCTAAACCGAGCTTAGCTTCAGGCTTGGACATGGAGCCTAGATACCTCAGAGGGCGCCTGTCAGCTTTGAAGATTCTGCTTTTGCGGCCTTCCCAGTCCCCAAACTGAAATATCCTCAAACCCTAAACCCTAAAACCTAAACCCAAAACCCTAAATTCTAAACCCCAAACCCTTAAAAAAAAACAAACTGAAATTTCCTCAAACCTTGCAAGCAGAGACTCGTAGAGACCCTAGACTACTAAGATTCGGAAGCCCCAAACCGCAGCTGCCGTCGCAGTTCCCTAGTTCTACACAACCCTAAAACATCAAAAACCCCCGAACTCTCAACCTCCCGAACCATCCAACTCTAGGGTGTGCGAGTTTAACACTAAATCACGAAACCGCTGAATTCCAACACGCTAAATTTTAATTGAAGTGGTAATGCCCTAAAACCCCCCAAGCCCGAAAGCCCCGCAGCCCTAAGCTCTAAACCGCTGTCGCAGTTCCCTGGCTCTCAACACCTCTAACACCCGACTTCCTGAACCCTATATTACTACTCAGCTCTAAACCCCGTAACCCTAAAAAGCTTATAACCTCCTATAGCCAGTTAATTGTAGGACCCTAAACTCTAAACCCTAAGCCTTCGAAGCCGAAAAAACTACAATACTAAGCCCCTGCACCCATATAACTCCAAACCCTAAAGGTTTATATCCTAAAGTCGCAGTTCCCTGGTACCCCAAACCCACAGCCCTGAAACCCTAAACCCGAAAGTCCTATAGCCTAAACCCTAAACTCCAAACGCCTAAGACCCGAAAACCCCTTTGAACGCCGCAGTTCCCTGGTTCTCAACAGCATCAGCACGGACTTTGTGGAGCTGAGTGGATCCTTCGAGCTAACGAAGCTCGGCCCGAAATGAGTTTTAGGGTTGAGGGTTCAGGGTTTAACTTACGAATATAAGGGTTTGGGGTTCCTAATCATCCTTCTAGCAGAATGTACTAATATACCACCAAGGCCCCATTCCAAGTATCAAGGTATTGGCAGTAGAGATCGGTCGAAGGGTATAGGGTTTTAGGGTTTGGGGGCGTTTAGGGCTAAAGGGTTTCGGAATTTCGGGTTTGGGGTTGTCGCTCTGAGTTAATATTGGTGCATCGGGCTCTCTTGCTACCCTGAGGCCGGAAAATCATCAGCAGCCTGTACAAGACCTCGGAGCTTTTGCTAAACCCTAAACTTAATCCCTCCTCGAGCCCCAACGCGAGCCTTTCCATTCAACTGTCTGCTTCCCTTCAGCGTCCCAGTTTAGGGCTTAGGGTTTGAGGACTCCTACAGTGTGCTAAAGTTTATCGGGTTAGGGTTTAGGGTTTGGGGTCTTGTCCGATGCATATGACTAGGAAGAGACAGGGACCTGAAGCCAGATTATAGCAAACCCGAAAAGGCAATCCTACAAAACCCGGTGCAAAGCCAAGAACACCCAGATCAATCCTACTGGATCCGCATTGGCGCCAAAGGATATACTGTAGTATAAAGGCATTAAATTTTAGAATAGGGTTTTGGGGTCTGTTAATCGTAAGGAGCCCCTAGGAATAGTAGTACGAATGATATATTCTAAACCCTGCATCCTAGAACCTTATAGAACCCTTACCGGAACCCAAAGGATCGGAATAGTACTAGAAAGTCTTCAGGCTGCTACACTACAACCCTATTACAGTAGCCTCTTGGCGGGAAATCTTATAGAACCCTTTACTCTAAACCCTAAACCCTAAAAGGAACCCTAAACCCAAAAACTTAAAGGAGCCCTAAACCCTAAACCCTAAACCCTTAAAGGAGCCCTAAACCCTAAACCCTTAACCCTAAACCCTAAACCCTTAACCCTAAACCCTAAAAGGAACCCTAAACCCTAAACTCTAAACTCTTAAAGGAGCCCTAAACCCTAAACCCTAAAAGGAACCCCAAACCCTAAACTCTAAACCCTTGAAGGAGCCCTAGACCCTAAACCGTAAACCCTTAAAGGAGCCCTAAACCCTAAACCCTTAAAAGAGCCCTAAACCCTAAACTCTAAACCCTTAAAAAGGAGCCCTAAACCCTAAACCGTAAACCCTGAAAGGAGCCCTAAACCCTAAACCCCAAACCCTCAAAGGAGCCCTAAACCCTAAACCCTTAAAGGAACCCCGGAAACCTTCGTCTTCTTAGAAGCGAAGGCTTGGGGATCCGGAAAAAATGGGTTTAGGGTTTAGGGTTTAGGGTTTAAGGGTTTAGGGTTTAGGGTTTAGGGTTTAGCCAGAACCCTAGGCTCTAATCCCTCAGCCCTAAACCATAAACCCTCAAGCCTAAAGCCTGAACCCTACCATAACCTACTTTCTTTGTAGGTTCCTATTATGGACCCTAATACAGAATTTATAGGGACCCTGCCAAAAACAGTAGGTTTTGGTAGCTTAAAGTAGGTTAGAAGTACATGGAGCTTAAGTTCCCTCGTGGCTGAGGATGCGGCTTCAGAGCTTCTGCGCTACTTGGATTGTTTTTCTTTTGGGGGGGGTGTGGGTTTAGGGCTTGAGGGTTTTGGGTCTTTACGACTTACGGATTTCGGGTTTAGGTTCCCTAAACCCTAAACCCTTTAGAGGGCTCAGGTTTCGAAGGTTTTTTGGGAGCTTGAGGGGTGGCGGTTGAGGGTTTCTGGGTCTTTTTTGGTATAGGGTCAGGGTTCAGGATCTGGGCTTGAGTAAGTTAGGGGCCTTTATAGTTACCTATATGATTTTGGGTGTTCCTTATTATATATATATATAGTAGAATATATTTATAGTAGAATATACGCCCAGACCCTATTCTAATTAGTAAGGCCCCCACATTCATTTAGGGTTTAGGGCTCAAGGTCGAGGATGGCTTAGTTTAGGGTTCAGGGTTTTTGTGAGGGGTTCAACCCTTCGGCCGGCATTGACTTGAGAAGACTTTCGACTTCTGTAACCCTCAATCCGGATAACCTGCGCATATGAACGTGAATTCCTAAAGGGAGCCCCAAGTCAGGGTTTAGGGTTTAAGATTAAAGTTTAGAGCCTAATCGTGATTCGGTGGTTCACGATTTCAAAAGCGTTGGTAAAGGCCTGAAATCCTACCCCTCAACCCCGTGACTGACTGTCCTGTGGATCCAGTAACCTATTGTCGTAAAGCTTACCCCTAGTCTCCACTGTAGTTCTTTTTGGGGGGTAGCCAAGTTTATATTTCGCATCCAAGGAAACTACAGGTGGGGAGTTTAGGGCATATAGGGCTTCCATAAGGCTTCTATAAGGTATATAGACCTTCTATAAGGCTTCTATAACGGCAACTACCCGCCTGAAAATGTCCTAAACTCTACGCGCTCAAAAGCCTAACCCTAAGGCTCTAAGGACTCGTATTTTTAAGGGTTTTGGGCCCAAAGACCATACTACATCAAGGCTTTTGTGCCCTTTTGAGCCTCAAGGTAAGAGTAGCTTCTTGCGATTGTCACCCGAAGTTTGGAGAGCTCAGGGCCTTTAGGTCCGGGGTTTTTGGTTTTCGAACCTTCGGCTTGTGGGTGTTTAAGATCTACCTGCGTACTTGGTTTAGGGCTTTTGGTTTAGGGCTCAAGCTGAAGTGAATGATAGGTCCTGTGGGTAGTTGTCGAAATTAGGGTCCCTTTGAGGGTCCTCAGTAATGGTGCCATATTATATTCGAGAACGACCCATGTGGTCGGGGGTCCGGCTTAGGATATCAAAGTTTACGGTTAAGGGCAGTCCGTTCTTCCGTCACAGGTGTATGTGCGGCGTAAGGCTTACCTATAGTCACCATAGTCTCCACATTAGTGCTTCTTCGGGTTGACTGACCTTATAGAGCCAGCCCACTGCAGAATACGACCACCACCACCCAGACAACTTCGACTGCGGTCTCGACCTGAGTTGGTTGTTGTGGCTTTTTTTGTCGATGGTGACATCTGTTTGTTGTTCAGGGCTTTTAGTGTTTGGGGTTTAGGGTTTACGGTTTAGGGTTTGGGGTTCACGGTTTAGGGTGTAGGGTTCAGGGTTAGGGGTTTGGGGTTGCGGGTTTCGGGTTTAGGGTTTAGAGTTCACGGTTTAGGGTTTAGGGTTTAGGGTTGTTGTTGATTCTTTTTGTCTCAAGGGAGGGGGTGACTCTCAGTTCTGGGTGTCAGAGTTTTGGACTTAAAGGCGATGAGTTTTTTTCCCCTGAACCTTCAACTCTTTGTTGGTCTTTGGGCTTTAGGGTTTAAAGGCTTAGGGTTTTTCCACTCCTGGTAGGCTTTAGGGTTTACGGTTTGTCCACTCTTTGTTGGTCTTTAGGCTTTGGGGTTTAGGGTTTTTTCCACTCTTTGTAGGCTTTAGGGTTTAGGGTTCTTCCACACTGTGTTGGTCTTTAAGGTTTAGGGTTTAGGGTCTTGCGCTGGGGCAGCGAAGCTTCGCGAAGCTCGGAGCAGCCACAGCCTGCTTTTCAGGCCATTTCCCTAAGGAGTCCAAGTAGCTAATAATAGTAGTAGAATGCAGGGTTTTTGGGTTTAGGAATTACTGTTATGATTTAGGGAAGACTCCCCCATAACAGCACATAGGACCCTTTGGGTAAGGGTCCAAGTAGCTAATCATCAGATACTCTCCAAAATAGTAACCCGCAATGTCTACTTGGTAGACTCTACTATCCAGCCTAGACCCTAAACTGCTAAGTGCCTAGTTACTGGGTCCTTGTTATTTTTTTTTGGTTTCGCCTTTAGGGGGCTTTTTGTTTTAGGGCTCTAGGTGTTGGTTTTCGGTTTTAGGGTTTAGGGTTTTGTGGCTTCAGGGTTCAATTAGGACTTTGAAGGGCGATTGTTGCGAGTTTCTT